CATAATATTGTTGCCTTTATTTGGGTTGTTAAGATTCTAGGGTTTCACTGGTAGAGAAGAGCCACGCAAATATATTCACTGATTTGTATGTTAATGTTCTGCCAACATGCAGGATCTATCAAAAAAATCCCACTTTGCAAAACATCTGTACTTTTGTAGAAAAAAGGAAGATACTGTCCACTATACCCAGTTCTTTACATTTCCCTGTATCATGTTATCATAGATTAGTAACTAATTCCCCTGTGTCCACTATTTTTACTTCTATAAACAATATTGCAATAAACATCATTAAACTAAATATTTGTATATTTCTTAGCTTCATATAAATGTCCAGAGTAAAATTATCTATCCAGTAGGCATGTAAATAATTAAGACCTCAATACATATTATACTCCAGAAAAATGATACCAATTTACAGATGAGACTGCATATTTTTTAGAAAATTTCTTAAGAAAAAAATTAACTATTGGAAGTGTTGCTTTCCTAGGAAAATATCTTACATGCAAGGAAGAAAAATGTCGGATGAAGGTAAGAGGCATGTAGTATGATACCCTTAACAGAAAAAAAAATAGTTGCTGGGTTTAAAATTTATGTGAATCAGATTGTGCTGTCAACTGTGTACTTACGTTCTTCTCTTGAACATTTTGTGCACACATGCCTGTAGCAGGATCCCTTCCCTAACCCTCCTTCTTGTTACCTATATTCTTCATCTCCTGCAAATATCCCACTTTGACAAATCTAGCAGCTTTAGGGTTTTTTTAATTAATTTTATGAAGCACATATTTGGTATGGTCCTAATTATTTGTTCCTCACAATTTAGCATTTATTTTTATCTCTATGTAATACTTGTATTCATGTAATATAATTATACTCCACTGAGTTTAGGCCATTACATGTTTCAGAATAGGCACGAAGTTTTAAACATTCTTGTTTTTGAGGCCAGACACAGTGGCTCACGCCTATGATTCCAGCACTTTTGGAGGCCAAGGCAGGTGGCTCGCTTGATCCCAGGAGTTCAAGCCCAGCCTAGGCAATATAACAAAACCCCTGTCGCTACAAAACATTTTTTAAAAATTCTTGTTTTCAAAACTGTGTAACTTCACATGTGTCCTCCAGCATTCAGATGTTGAAACTTAATCATCAACTGATAGTATTAGCAGGTGGGGCTTTTAAGAGGCAATGAAGCCAGGAGGTCGAATGCTAGTAGATGAGAGTAGGACCCTCATAAAAGGGCTTGCTGGAATGAGTTTGTTCTCTTTGGCTCTTCTGCCATGTGAGGACCCAGCGTTCCTCCCTTTTTTTGCCTTCTGTCCTTTCCACTGTGTGAGGATGTCTAGATTTTGTCTATTAACAAAAATACAGTTAAAAATTAATAAACGTTTTCATGGCATACTTCTTAGTGGGAAAGTAAGCATTGTCTCTGGTCTGACAGCTGTTTGAAATCCTATGTGGATTTTTCCTGAAGAAAACAATCCGCAATCACAATTCCAGGGTTTCTCCAGACACAAGAAGTAACTTGTATACCACTGTGATTCTCGTTTCTCTAATGACTACCATATCACTTACTGAGTTTCTACTATGTGCGGTGCTTTTCAAATATTTCCACAGTTTTAGTCCATCTGACAGCTCTATGAGGCAAGTCACAGCCCATTTTACAAATGAGAAAACGGTGGCTCATTTAAGTTAAGCAAATAGAGTCCAGATTTGATTCTTACCCCAGAGTCCCAGCATTTAACCACCAAAATCACTATGGCAAATGATTTTCTTGTGCTAAGAAAAAGAGTAAAGATTATAACCTGTCATTCAAACTGAAATTTTCAAACTTTATGACATAATTTTAGTTATATGATCAGAATTTCTGGCATTCCAAATAACGTAACTCATGCAATGGTTTCACATAGTTAAGTTACCTTTAGTCTTGGTTGATTTTTGCTGCTATAACAAAATATCTGAGACTGGATAATTTATAAAGAACAGAAATACATACTGGAAAGTCCAAGATCAGGGTGCCAGCAGGTCTTGGGTCTGGTAAAGGCTCATTTGTCATAGACGGTGTCTCCTAGACATCCTCACACAGTGGAAGGGACAGAAGGCAAAAAAGGGAGGAACGCTGGGTCCTCACATGGCAGAAAAGCCAAAGAGAACAAACTCATTCCTGCAAGCCCTTTTATGAGGGTCCTACTCTCATCTACTAGCACTCGACCTCCTGGCTTCATTGCCTCTTAAAAGCCCCACCTGCTAATACTATCAGTTGATGATTAAGTTTCAACATCTGAATGCTGGAAGACACATCCAGATCTCAGCATCTCTCAATAAAGAATAGGGAGGTTCCACAGCACCCATCATTTACTGAAAATATTTTCCAACTCAAATACAGCATGGAGAGCAAGCTTTTAAAATAAATTGAGGGGCGTCTGGGTCAAGATCACTAATGGAACACAGGTGTTTATTTCATAGTCTTCACTGAACACTATTAAAATGAGAGTGAAGGAATTTTAAACAATAAACCCCCAAAAATAAGAGACCTGGCATAGAGAAAAATCAGTATGAGAAAGCACATTGTAAATTTCTGGAAGATGAAAAGGAGATAGAGGTAGACTGCCAGATAAAGAGGAGCTGCCAAGAAGAGACCCTAGTATAAATGCCTTTGCAAACCCTGTAGGGTGCCAGTCAAGGAAGGCAAATTCCACAAAGGCACAACTGTAAAGCAGGGGTAAAAAGAAGGGGGTTCCTCAAAGGTCTCTAAGACCAGCTCCTCCTTTTCCTTCCCCACCCCATGCAAAGAAGGACTAACAGGCAGGAGGTCTGCAAGCTGCAGGCAGAGGACACCTGGGCTGAATGAATGAATAAGCAGAAGCAACTGGCACAACAAAACATGCCAGAGTTCCAAGACCGAAAGCTGAGTTGAAGTGGAAAAACAAAATAGGGATGAAAAAAAGGTTCTATTTCCTATATATTTCCTTCATATTCTAAATTAATGCCCTACTCTCTGTGATAATCGTATTAATTCATGCTAACGTTTTCTTCCTTCAGTCTCCCATTAAGACATGATATCCCCAGAGAAATTATAACAGCTTCAGGAAAGCATTCCTATGGGCTCTCTCATCTGCTCCTAAGACGAAGGTCATCAAGTTAGTATTTAAAATCATGAGGTGGTCTCTGAATTGCTTTGCTGTGACAGCTATAAGGATACTAGGCCTATTTTGAAGAACAGGCTGGGGGGCACATCTTCCCAGAAGCTACCCATGCAAGAAAATACCCATTAACAGAGAAGAAAATTAATAAAAGGATCCTTAGGAAATTTTAAGTTATAAATAATTACAAAAGACCAGCAACTGAACTACAAACATCCTCTAACTATTTTTTTAAACCATCTCCTTATTTTCATGAAGTTCATGTAGCAAAATAAAGCAGATGATTCTCTAATGTAATTCCATCACTAATATCACAGTCTATTTGTCATTCCCTTAGGGGAGCCGTACTTGGGACAGAACAACTAGATACATAATTGTAATTCTCACAATGAGAACCTAGAAAATATTTCGCCGCACGTACAGTATGCTATAAATGTCACTGTGAAAGCACAGCTCGGTTAAAGCCTGCAATCCATCTATCTCCCTTCTGTTATTCACCATCACACAAAGCTATATCAAAAGATCCATTCAAACAGTGAGTCTCAGACTTACATTATCAGCAGACACTGCTTTAATTAGCAGTGGATTTCAAAGGACTGGATGGCTTCGAGAACTTGATTTGAACCATAAAGTAGAAATCTGGATCCTTATCAGTTTCACTTCTCAACTCTCAGCTCCCCTCCCCGGGTTCCAATAGATACAGCCCTCATTTTTCTTAATGTAAGAAAGAAAATAATGAAAATGGTGGCTAGGCTTTGGCAATACTTGTGAGTCCACTTTTTCCTTAACCACCAGTGATGCAGAGGGGCTAAAATTAAGGTTGCAAAGGGACTAAGATATCTGTGTCAGGTACGTTGCAGGGAGTGGTAAGAATGACAAAAAAAGAATGAATAAGAGCTAAAGAAACCATTTTCAAAATAATATTTAACACATAGATTTTATATATGTCTGTGTGTATATTAATTTTTATTCCAAATGGAAACACAGCATCCACTTCATTTTAGGTTAAGTGTGAGAAAATAAAATGCTTTATTTTGGATGTTTCATTACAAACATTAAGGCACTTACATTCTACTTTTTTCATTTATTCCACAATATTTACCCATGATCCAATTCCTGAATCTTTGTTATTTCTCAGTGAAAACATAGATAAATATGTAATTTAATTCTTGAGTACTGAACTGTGAACTTTCTATTCTAAGAGGAAGGTTTCATCTAATAACAAGGACTTCTATTTTACATTTGATCAGTGATAATATAAAAATAGAAACTATTTTAAGATTCCTAATATTTGAATAAATAGGCATCATTTAGTACGGAGAGAATTTAGTAAATCCACAGCCAGGCAGCACTTTTGACAGATGTATAAAATGCTAAAGAGCATAGCAGTCTTTTCAAACCCAATCGAACCTTTCACTTTGTAGATAAAGAAGCCAAAGATTAAGTGATATATCAAAGGCCACACGAGCACAACTTTAACTGTAATACCAGTCTCTTGGAATCAGATCAAACATGCTCCTCACCATACTAGTTGACACTCAGGGAGAGATAGAAAACCCCTTTGGAATAAGAATCCTTGTCACCATAAACACACACACACACACACACACACAGAGAGAGAGAGAGAGAGAGAGAGAGAAGACACAGATTCTTCATTTAGAGTTTCATAGGTATGTCAATTAAACACCTGTACACACCCGCTTTTTCGTTTTTCCATTTCTCCTCATTCTGCCATTATGCACATTCGGTCTTTAATTCTCACTGCTTAGCAATTTCCCAATGAGCCTCATCATCCACCACTGTCAGCATATTTCCTCTCCTCTCCTGTTCTTTAAATTTTATACTATAGATTCTTCTGGAATTTTTAAATTTTTATTTGTTATTGGCTCAAAGGAGAAGAGGCGAGAAACAAGACAGAATTATTTCTTATGCAAAAGAGATTTAGGTTTTTCAACTGTTTAGTTTTTCACTTTGGTCTGCCAAATAATCAGAATTTGTGGTTACTATTTACAACTATACTTCACCTGGGGTAAGATCAGAATGTTTTAATTACTCATAATACTTGAGGGTTGTCTCAGTTTTTTGGAGAACATTATCTTAATTATCAAATCTCTAACATCTGGTGCAGAGAGATCAATCCTATAATTCCCTTATTGACATCTCAGAAATGTCTTACCTCCCTAAGAAAGGAAAAGATTAATTATTTTTTCTAAAAATTCAGGAGTGACACAGGGTTCAGAAACTCGGAGTATCCTGGCTCTAAATTCCCTCCAGTTGCCTTCCAGTTAAGGGATGCTTACTGAGAAACTTAACATGAAATTTTGGTCTCTACCGCCCATTTGTTTAATGATAATAATTATTTCCACAGGGTATTTTAGATGTCAACTCTGGATGCCATCTCTGGAGAAAAGTGGATAATAAATTTAAAATATACCAATGATGAATGGGCCATCGTGGGCAATGTGCCAAGTGGAGGCGTAGGATGCACAGTAGGCAACACAAACACGTTAGGGAGGGCAGCTGCATCCTTAAAGATGCTGAAGTGCCTACCATAGCCCAGGATGATGTCACCCATAAAATCAAACATGAGCTGACAGTACAAGGGGTTAAGGTATGGGGGCAAAGCAGCCCATAGGCTCTACCATCAAAATTATCACTCAGACAAAATGGACATTCAAGGCAACTTTATCAGTTGAATCCAGAACATAGCAAGAGTCATTGGTGGACTCTATGAGTAGCAGAGAAATGGAAGGAGGTTTCCAAAATAAATAATGAAATGCTAAAAAAAATAAAAGGTTTTTGTTTGCATGTTTTTATCTATCTTTCCTTCATTTAGGTCATCACCAAAATTAGTTTATTAAAAATTGATGCAATCAATTATGGAATAAAGATACATACATCCAGTACCTTACCCCCAGAGATTTACCATGTATTAAATGTAATTAACATTTATACTTACTTTTTATATAAAGTTGCCTTGTAAGGAATAATATGTAGGTCAGAAACAACATTCCATGCCATACTGAAAGTAATATCTAGATAACACAACAGAAACATAGGCAGAATAGATGACTTGTTTTCAGGTATGTCAGGGCCTTCTGAGTGAGTGCCTGTTACCAATGACTCTAGTTAGACACAATTAGAAAGAGAGATAAATATATAAGTAGATATTATGGCAGAATAAAAACATGTTACAGGCCACGCGCCGTGGCTCACGCCGTGGCTCACTCCCTAGCACTTTGGGAGGCCAAGGCAGGCGAATTGCCTGAGTTCAGGAGTTCCAAACTAGCCTGGCCAACATGGTGAAAACCCACCTCTAATAAAAATACAAAAATTAGCTGGGCGTGGTGGCGTGTGTCTGTAATCCCAGCTACTTGGGAGGCTGAGGCAGGAAAATCGCTTGAACCCGGGAGGCAGAGGTTTTGCAGTAATCAGAGATTGCGCCACTGCACTCCAGCCTGGACGACAGAGCAAAACTCCGTCTCAAAACAACAACAAAAAAGTTACAGCATAAAATGCTTTACAATCATTCCCATTGTTAAGACATTCTGAGGAATAATTATAGACTAGCTACGACAGGGCTATGTGAGAAATTGGGGTGTCAATGGTTTGTACACTTAGAATATTTCTGAGCTGCTAAAACCTATGGTCATTACATCATAATGTACTTAAAAATAATCAAAGCATAATAATTGCCTCGAGGGCTAGGATGTTCTTTATCATGTATGTTCCCACTGCAGCCCTTAGTACTTTGTCTTATTCAAAATAAGTGTCCAGGAATGTATATTGATTTAAAAGCATTCTTTGTTTTTTCCGGGTACATTGCCACCTAATAGGCACTACGTTGCATCTCCGAAGATGCTCACCAGCACCACTCAAACCTGTCATCAGATAACGATATCAGGAATTATAACCAAGCACTAGTCTCATGTTTTTTGTTTGTTAATAATTTCTTCTTAGAAAGTAATTAATTTTATTTGTATTAATGAAGCTATGAATTAATAAATAATTTTGGCTGGGCATGGTGGCTCATGACTGGCATCCCAGCACTTTGAGATGCTGAGGTGGGCAGATTGCCTGAAGTAAGGAGTTTGAAATCAGCCTGACCAACATGGTGAAACCCCATCTCTACTAAAAATACTAAATTAGCTGGGCATGGTGGTGCACGCCTATAATCCCCGCTACCCTGGAGGCCAAGGCAGCAGAATCGCTTGAACCCAGGAGGCTGAGGTTGTGGGGAACAGAGATCGCGCCATTGCACTCCAGCCTGGGCAACAAGAGCGAAACTCTGACTCAATCAATCAATCAATCAATCAATCAAGTAGGCTTATTTAAAGAGCTATCCTCCACTGGATTATCACAGATTTCTGAAATGTATAGTTCTATGTAGTTTTACATTTTAACAACAGTTTGTTTCGTTTATTTTCTTTTTTGCTGTATTTAAAAATAAGTGGTATGGGCCGGGCACGGCAGCTCACACCTGTGAGGCCGAGGCAGCCGGATCACCCGAGGACAGGAACTCAAGACCAGCCTGGCTAACATGGCGAAACTCCATCTCTACTAAAAATACAAAAGTTAGCGGGCACGATGGTGCACGCCTGTAGGCCCAGCTACTCAGGAGGCTGAGGCAGGACAATCACTTGAACGCGGGAGGTGGAGGTTGCAGGGAGCCGAGATCTTGCCATTGCACTCCAGCCTGAGCAACAAAAGCAAAACTCAGTCTCAAAAGAAAATAAATAAATAAATAAAATAAAAAATAAGTAAGTCGTAGGAATCCTTTTTTCTGAAATCAAGAAGAATGTTTTATTATGAGATCATAAGTAAATTTACATATCATTTGATAAGCCTTTCACCCTCAAATTCAAAATCAATCAAATTTTAAATATAAAAAGTAAAATTATTTAAAATGTAAGTTTTCAGCTCCTTATATTAGATACATCCTGTTTATCAAAAAAAAAAACCTAATTGTCAGTTGACCTATTTTTTTTCTTAGTCTCAAAGAGTTGCTTTTTTACTCAAGGAAGCAATATTTATGACATTCAGATATTGACTACTATGTTGATTTGATTGTACCAAGTTTCAATATAAAATAAGTTGCATCATATACTCTTATTATTTTTGTAATATTATTGAACATTCATTATTTGAGAAGATAAAATTATCTCTTGAGACATATTACATTAATGCAATAGAAATTATTAAATTTATGCATGAGATCTGTTTGTTCTTATAATCTCTTAGAGAAAGAAACCATTATTATATCAGAATGCCTGGAGGTACATGATTATTTTTACTATATTAATATATGATTTTTTTCTTTTCATTATGAAATTTCAATTGAAAGTAAATATAAGTAAAATTCTTTGTTGATGCATTTATAGTCTAAAAGAAGTTTAGAAAATAGTCAAGATTTGTTGTCTTAGTTTTACTTATTTATTAAACATAATACATAGAAACTAGTACCTATTTCTTAAACTATTCCAGAAGTAGCTTCATGTTATAAATATAAACACACCCAGTTTGAACGTATTGCTTTGTCTATCATTATTCCAAAAATGTCACTCATAAATAAAATCAGACTACAAATTAATATGCTAACACAACATTTCCTAAAGTATGTTGCAGAGAACACTGCTAGTTCTTCAGAATATTCAGTTATTGCACACACATTAAAATGTATTACATTGGTAGGTGAGTTTAGAAAACATTGGATTAACCTCCAGAGTGCCTCACAGTCTTTAGTATGTTAAAAAACAAATATGAGTCTCAAAGGGGAAATTTATTGTATAATTCATTCCCTGCTCAGTGTTTTCTGAATATTCTTGAGCACAAACCAGAACCACTTTTTATGAAGAGCTTGGAAAATCAGAGTTCCCAGGAACAGGGTTTGGAAAATATGTGACAGCAAAAACAAAGAATCCATTCAGCCTCAACAGCAATTATGGTGGAACTAACCAAACTGAAATGTATTGTTACAAAATAGTTTCCTCCCTTTTTACACCTCCCTACTATTTCCCACAAGAATAGCTTTAGTTTAATCTGATTTAGCAGAATCAATGACTAAGATATTCCACATGGCTAATAGATGGTTTTCAGAGGGGTGGAAATGTCCTTCTGAGCCTATGTTAATTGATTTTTCTTCTCCTTTGAAATATTGGAATAATACCAACCAAATTATGAGAAATTTCACTTAGCATTGGTAGATTTAAGAAATTTTGAAGGATTTTAATATAGTTCCTTTACTTCTGATTATGTATTGATTAATAGATGTAAAAGAGGCACCTTCAAATGGTAAGTACCTAGCAATATTTTAATCAGCAAACAGCAACAAATTGAGGGCAAAAATCAATACTTAAAAGCAGCAATTCACTCACCCAGCGTAAGACAAGATTTATATTAGATATGCAGCAAAGAATCTTGTTTTACTTTTATCTTGTCTTTTTCTTATTTTGTCTTCTTTTATCTTTGTGTGGAATAAACTGATGAAATTTAAAATGCTGCAGACTGTTGACTTTCTTATTTACTATAGATCTTATCTTAGAAATTTTTTCAAATAAAACCAATAATGCATATTAAGTGTATGACACATGCTATAACACTGTTCATAGTAAAGATCCTTATGAGAAATATGGCTTTAATTTTAAACAAATGCATAATACAATATTATAATGTATCCATATTTAAATATTTTATTGGAAAAATATTTTCTTCTTTTAAAAACCAGACTTTTATGAACTTTACTATTTATAATAAATAGTGAACTCCACAAAAATACATTTTTCAACTGTCTTCAGCAAACTAGCCAGTCATACTGTTACATTGGTATTAACATGAAACATAATGCTAGATGAATTGAAGTTTTGGGTATTTTCACATAAACAAAAAAAAAGTTCAACTAAAATAACTTTTACTGGAAACCCTCAAAGATACAGATTTTCCAACTCTTAAATAGAAAACACTGAGCATAAGCGAAGCTTTTCTTGATAACAGTGTCATCAGAACTCCTGTATCTGAAAGGTGCCAGGTTCCTTAGCTCCATTTGCTTGTACACTTAATTACCCCAGATACTGGGCTTTCATGTGTTCCCCCATCCCCAAAACAGCCTCACTTCTCAGTGCAGGTGACTGTTCTCATGCCCCTGATGTGCCACCATATTTTCCCCCAATTTTTGGAAGTCAATCTGACTAGGCCTCTGCTACAGAGTAATGTTCATGAGGAAAGCTACTTCCTCTAAGCTACAATCAAATTGAAAGATAATGTGGAAAGACTGAGAGACACAGAGGTTTGGATTCTGGATTTATAGCTGTATTCAGGGTAAAGTCAGGCGTGCACAGTGTCTGACTTTCCAGAAAGTGAAATGCTAATACATTGAATCACTTCAAATAAGAAGAATGCTCCGTCTTCACTTTGTGCACTTGCCCCATGTTCGCTATGTTTACTTGCAAAACTTCCTGGAAAAGACTGCCAGGAAGCTCAGGGTCAAATTTCACACTAATTCATAGCAACTATTTATTCATGTATTTACTTACTCCCTATCTGGTTCCATAAAGGTTTTATGACCACTAACCCTTAATGCTTACCATATCTGGGTTTTCCTTTTACTTTTAAATGCCTTTTAACTTTTCTCTTTCTACATTAAAAATTTTGGCCATGTGCTTCTTAAGTGAGTCAGGCCAAAAACAGTTTAAAAATAGGCTTTGGCTAGGGATCTCATATACATTACAGTTTTTATTCTTCACAAAGACTTCAGATTAGTTATTACTGTTCCCTATCTTACACATGAATTAACTGAGACTTGGAAAAATGACACAAAACCCATAGTCTTATGTTTGGTAGTTGTGGGCAGGAATTTTCACCATGCCTTTTCTGATTCAAAATCCCTGATTAGCCCTAGAAGGACACATGGCCTTTCCAAACAGTCAAAAAGCAAACTACTGTGGCCACTACATGTTTGGACAATCAACTAGAGCAGAGCTCCACAGTGGGTACTGAAAATGATGACCTGATTCTTTTAAGAAAAGGTTATATTTTATCCAATATATTACTTTAAGACCTTGAGATTCTAACACACTCTGGGTACGTTCAACCCATTATGGTTCTTTTTTTTCCATTTTTCTTCTTTTAATATCTTGAATAGTCCATAAACCTCAACTTCATACACCTAGAACAATGTATTGCCAAGAATTTGGTCTTATTTTAGTCTATATAATCTTACTTTCTGTTACTTATGCTGACATTAAAATTAGTTATGGCCTGTTCTAATGTTAACTCTGTAGCCACAGTAAATTTACAAACATAATTAGCTACCTATGCTCATCAGATGAACCATGGATGGCACATTCAACTCAAAGTTACAGTATATTTTATATTTGAGCAAATATAAGTGACCACTATTAATCATTGACATTTAATTGCTTAGTATCAAGGCAAAATTACTTTTATAACTTCCATGGCAAAAAAACTTTATCCTTATACCTACCAGAAGTTCATTAAACTTAATAAAACATTAAAATATTCTATAATGTTTATTTTTCATGACACAGATTCCTGGTATCTCTGAGAAAAATTAGACTTTGAACACTTGCTAAGCTTCACATACGCAAATAAAACAATCTTTCAGGCGATCACAAGGAGATATCAAAATAAATGGATTCCAGTTTTTAAAATGAAGGTAAACAACATCATTTAACTAAATCAAATTTGCCAGTATGTGTGTACTGACATTTTATGTATAACTTTATTACATTGTTTTCAGGAAAGCCCATGAAACTCATTAATGTTAAAGTTATTGACCAGAAAAAACATGGAAACAGAGGCTGGCTAGTGCAACTTTTCCTATCTGTGACAGTTTCTCTACCACCCTGTAAATTTCATTATAAATCTGTGTGTGCTAAATCTCATGTCTTACCGTCAGTTTCTCCTCTAAATTCTTGTTTAATAAGCTTCTTTTTTCATGCTTTTCAAGTTCCATATTGAAAGATAATGTGGAGAGAAAGAC